AATGAAGCTAGAGGGATCATCTTTCCTCTAGTGTTTATAAAAACTATCTGTAACAGGATTAGAACTGTATGATGGCATAGGGGGGCTGGATACATTAATAGCAACCTATAGTATGACCTCCCATTGCTTCCCAACACAAAATACTAATTTTAGATGAAAAGGAGTTTTGTTGGCTAAGAAACGGTGAATGGAGCAAAGATGACAAAAAAGAGCAGAGGGAGAAAGAAATAGATGTTCTTCAAAAAAAATTAAATTTTGATCTTTTGCCTTGAAAAGAAAGAGAAAGGAAAAGCCAAACCCTTTTGGCTGCCTTTTGGATGCTTTGTTCTTTTCCCTTGTTAGATATCTCTTCTGAGCTGTTTTATCCTGTTGTGTTCTTGAAAATGATTTTTGAAATGTCAAAACTTCAAGCCTCTTTTGTCAGGGCTTAAGCAATTCCACTGAACTTTGAAGGAGACCACAGCATGAGAGACATGAACTTCTGACGCTGCCTTAACTCATCCAGCTTTGATCAGTGCTGGGGAAGCAATGGGGGGAGTGGAAAACACACACAACACAGAAACCCAGACAAATCAATCCCATGAGGGGCTGCTGGACCTTGTGGAGCTGGGAGGGAGTTGTAGCTGTGTCCTGGTGTTCTCCACGCTGCTCCATGGCATCGGCTGGCTCACAAAGGCAACAGCATTTGAGGGACATGTCCTGGTGTGGGGCTCCTGGGAAGTGGTGCTGGTGCAGAGATGTAATTTTGTTTCTGTGTTCATGTCCTGGCTTGTAAGATAAGCATGTATTTTATTTACCATGGGTTGGAGGCTGGGCAGTTTCCTTATCTCTTCCAAGAACAATGTCTCCCTCCGGGGAGAATCTTCTGTTAATGGCCATGGAATGACTCCCTGCATGACTGGGAAAGTTACATCATCCCATGGTGAGATGCTCCACCCAGAGGGAGGAGCCAAGCAGCCCTACCTGCATAAAATCAGCACTTTTTGGGACACCAGAGCAGCCCCTTCACTGGATTCCCAGAAGAGCAACTTCTTCTCTGCTGAATCCCCAGAGGAAGACCAGGCCCATCTACTCCATCACCAGACCTTCAGAGAAAACTCCACCCTTCTACAGATCCCCGCTCCAGCAGCATTTCATCTGCCACTCCAGGAAAAGCAGCCACCATTTCACTGGACTATTCCCAACACACTGACTCCTCAGGGTGTCAGGTTTCTGATTCTATCACTAGTTTTGTTTGTACTAGTTACATTTTTTTATTATTATTATTTTTATTTAGTTTTTTTTCCTAGTAAAGAACTGTTATTCCCATTCCCATATCTTTGCCTGAGAGCCTTTTAATTTTGAAATTGTGGAAATTCGGAGGGAGGGGGTTTACCTTTTCCATTTCACAGGAGGCTTTTGCCTTCTGTCAGACTCCTGTCTTTTCAAACCAAGACAGTTCAGTTGGTTGGTTGATGGTTGCTTTACCCTGATACCTAAACATCTCCATTCAAAGGAGATTTCAGCAAGGTTTTGAGTGAGAAGCTTGAAATTTGTGTCTAGGGCACCTGGCAGGTTGGCAGCAGGGACAGCAGGGTGGACAGTCCCTCCAGGTGTCTTCAGAATGTCTGTGCTGGGCCCTGCTCTGGGGACTGCAGCTGAAGGGGTGCTTCAAACAGGGTGTAGGGGTGATTTAGTAGGGTCTGAAGTCCTTAATGAAGGTTTTAGGAGGCTGGTCTGTAGTGGGTTCTACCCCCATCAAGTTCCTCATCACTCCCCTTCCCTCCCTCCAGAGACTGCAGTTGTGGAAAACAAATCCAGCTGATGTTCCCTGCAAGCTGGAGGTGTTTGAAACAGCTCTTGCTTGGAAAATGTTTGTTCTTGGTAGTTTTTAAAAGGATTTGTTCCTCAACCTGCCCTTTCTGAGCTTTTCAAGGTGGTTTTGATATGTACATGATGGCGACTTTTGAAAACTGTTTTCTATGTAGGGATTCTTTGAAAGTGAAGAGAAATATTTTGTGAAAAGGCTTTGAAATCATCAGAATTTTAGCTTTCAAAATATTTGTAGAATGCCTTTTTCTGTTATTTATTTCACAGGCAAGCTATAAAGGGATCGAGGTTGGGCTGTTTGTTTGTTTGTTTTCGGTGGGAGCGAAGGTGATGAGGGTGTCTGTGAATGTCTCTCAAAATCTTACCACACACTCAGCTTCAGAGATGTGAGAAGTTTTCTTGCTGGAAGTTGTCCCCTCCCTCCTCTGAGGAAGGAAAGGGAGGAAAAGAAAGGGAAGGAATGGGAGAAGGAAGGAAAGAAGGAGGAAGGAAAGTAAAACCTTTAATTTCCCTGGGTTTGGGTTTTTTCAGACTAAGGTAGAAAAACCTCCATTTTACACTGAGCCTGAATTCAGGAATTTTGGATTGAAATGTTTTCACTGCTGCTTTTCAAACAAACAAACCCCCTGAAAAACCTGATAATGAGGATGATTTCTCAATCAGACTTGCTAAAATCAAAATAAGTAATTAATCTTCAAAATACCTGGAGTCAGGGAAGGGGCTGGAGTGCAAGTCTGAGGAGGAGCAGCTGAGGGAGCTGGAGAAAAGGAGGCTTGGGGGGAATTTTTCACTCTCTACAACTCCCTGACAAGGAGGGTGGAACCAGGTGGGGTTTGGCCTCTTCTCCAATGGAGTGTTTAGATTGGTTAAAAAGAAGAATTTCTCCAGAGAAAAGGGTTGTCCAGCCCTGGCAGTGCTGGAGTCCCCATTCCTGGAGGGATTTAAAGTGTGTGGATGTGGCACTTGGGGGCATGGTCTGGCTGCCCTGGCAGTGCCAGGGGAAGATTTGGGATTTGATGATCTGAGAGGTCTTTCCCATGGGAATGATTCCATGCTGGGGAGCTCCAGGGGTCACCCCTCCATCACCCACCTGACCATGGAGCAGGTACAGCAGGTCCTGGGCCACAATCCCCTTCCAGCTCCAGCCTCCTCCATCTCTCTGTGTACAAATGATGTGTCTGCTTTGTGTCGGGTTTGCTTCTGTTACTTCCAAGCTGTATTTTAACCAGAAGTGGGGTTCATTAAGTAGGGATTTAATCAAGAGCTGCTGGTTTTGCTCCTCAGTCCTTGGGTGCAGAGGGAGTTGTCTGTAGCTGAGTCTCAAAACAACTGTACGTGCTTCCCAAGCCTTGCTCTTTATTAGGCAGCTGAGGAAATCAGGAGGAAAACAAAATTGATAGGTTGCTACTTAGACACCTACATGTAAATAGTAAACACTCCCAAAGGGTATATTTCTGATTGGGAAAAGAAACCAGTAATTGTTGTTATTGGTATGTAAGGCTATCTTTAAAAATTCATTGAAAAGAATAATTAGAGATAAAACCACGTGGCTCTAAGAAACTTCTCTGTGCTCAGTGTTTCTCTGCTTTCCAGTGCTGCTGGGGGGCTTACCCAGTGATTTACTGCTGCCTTGTGTCTGATTGAGATGTATCCTGCAGCCTTGGCAGGGCAGCTCCTGCCTTGCTGTGTCTCCGGAGCTGCTGGATTTCGATGTCTAATTCTCATTTGCTTGAGCAGTGAGCAGCTTGGCAGCCTCCGCTGGCTTTGAGTGCAGAGATGCACCTGTGAATATGTTTATGGTATATAAACACTCTGAGTGTCAAAGAGCTGAGTTTATGGGAAATTAGGGCTTGGATTTGGAGGGTGCTGAGATCTTGGGATACCTGAAAATGAGGTCACTCACTGGGATGCTTGACTCGAGGCTCTGCTTGTTTTATCCTTTGCATGGCTAATGTGGCACAGGATGAGGGTGAGGAGGGCTCCCTCTTGCTAAGCATCAGGGATCCTCTTCAAAAGGAGATCCAGAGTTTGTATTCAGGCAGGTTCATGTGGGGTGGCTGCTGCTGCAGGCTTGTTGTCCTGCTTTCTTAATCTCGTGGCTTTCATCAAAGTAAGTTGGTGCTTCAAAGAATGGTGTCCTAGTCCTTTACTAAGGGTCATATGCCTTACAGTTTCATGACAACAGGCCCTGGATCTGTAGATTTGCTACCCCTGGGTAATCTCTGAGAAGGATTTCAGTCTTCAGACAGCAGTTGCAAATTTTGTCCTCAGACTTAGTGGAAAGGTGGCTGTGGGCTCCTGTGCTACCTGGTAGTTCCCCTTTCCAACTCCTCCTTTCAGGTTTCTTCTCTCTTTTTAGAGGCTTTTACCATGGTAAGTTTTGCAAAACACCACTTAATGGCAGAGGTTTTTTGGCTCCTCTCTGATCTGTGCAGCACTGTTATGGAGGCAGTCTTATAATCAATGTAATTGAAGATCAGAGTTAATGAGGACCTCTGTGCCTGCAAAATCCCCCAAGCGATGCTGGGCCTCAGATGTTAGATAAGGAAATGATTGGGCTGAACTGAAAATCTATTTGGCTAATTAGATGATGCATATTCCCAGATGCCAGTGGGGAAAAATACATTTCGCAAAATAAGGAAGCATAAGATTTTATAAGAAAATATTTTTGGCAGGAATTCACTCCTTACTCACAGGAGGGAGAGGGTGGGGGGGTGTCTGGTGTGAGACAACTCATACAAGAAGTTGTGTGTTGGGCCAGTCCACTCACCTTCAACAGAAGGTGAACAGGCCCTGCTGCTGCTGCCCATCTGTGCCCTGAGCTCCAGGTGCCTCCTGGACCACTCCTCCCTGAGCTGGGGCAGTGATGCTCTGATTACAGACCAGAATAATTACACTGGTCCTCATTTCTGCAGAGACCTGGGAATCAAATCCCAGTAGTGTAAGGGTAGGGAAGTGTCTGGGCAGAGGAGCTAGTGGGCCATTTGCTGCAGCACATTCCTCTGGAGAGGAATGGTCAAATGAAGTTCTTTGGGACCAGCTGGCAGTGAACTCATTATTATTTTACAGATATTGTCATCACAGCAGCTCCTGAAGAGTGCAGTGCTCTGATGTTGGGCCAAAATGCACATTTGGGGTTTTTATTTCAGATTTCCATGCTCACCTAACACACTTTTTTCCCACTCCCCCAGGCAGCAGCTTCGTTGTGAGTGAGGGGAGCTACTTGGACATCTCTGACTGGCTGAACCCAGCCAAGCTGTCCCTGTACTATCAGATCAATGCCACGTCCCCCTGGGTGAGAGACCTCTGTGGGCAGAGGACCACTGACGCCTGTGAGCAGCTGTGTGACCAAGACACAGGTAAGGGAAGCTGGGGGAGAGTGAAAACCTTGGAAAGCTCAGAGATGTGGGGGAGAAGGTCTGTCACTGGGTATTTTGATGCCCTCTTGGCTCTCCTCTGCTCTAGCCTGGTGGTAGGCATGGGGGACTGAGAGGTGCTAGCAGGGTCACATCAGCAAAGTGTGAAGAAGATGGGCACAAGATGGGGATTTGAAACGGTGGATCTACCAGTTCTCTGCTGTGACAGCTGCAGGCACGTGGAGTTTATCTCCTTCTAGGGTGGGTTGTTCTGCTGTCCCATCTGGAAAACCTTCTCATGAATTTACCCCATCTCCATCCCTTTTCTTTTCTGGCCGTTCTCGCTGCAGATCACCACAATTCCCATTAGTGCCTGCTCCTGCCTGGTGGTTACCTAGGTTGGGTTTGTCCTCCAGCCCTTCCTGGTGGAGCTGTGAACTCTGCCACCCTCCCTCATCTCTAGATGAGTGTTCTGCTGAGCGTGTTCTGCTGGTGTGCAGCCCTGCTGGGGCTCAGGGGTGGGGCTGGACAAAGGACAAGTGTCACCTTGACTCCTGCCTTTATTGGATGACACATGGGGGTCCTGGAGCCTGCAGCAAGCCGAGAACACAGAGCACAGCAAGCACAGGGTGACAGCACCTTGCAAGGAAGGTGGCTTGGGGACTGTGCTGGGGTTTTGTGCTGTGGCTCACCAGTGGCTCGCCAGCCTTGGGTTGGATGCCTTCTTGGTGGTGTGGAAACAAGTGTCCCTGGTGGTCCTGGCTTGCTGAGTGTCTGAAGAGCACCCAGACCCTGTCTCCTTGCAGAGAGGTGCCATCCCAGCTTAGTCCCAGCTCTCCATGTGAGCTGCTTCCCCCTCACCTCGTGTGTACGAGACTCATGGCTGCAGGTGAGGATGGGTATAAAGGATGGCTCACTGTGGAGAAGGCCTTTCTTAAGCCTCCCAAAGCTCCTGACTGTCATTAATACATGGATTAGAACAAGAAATCCCTAAGAGTCATGAACTCCTCAAGGGGTGGTGGGGGTGACCCTGTTCTCATCCCTCCTTGCTCAGTTGAGATGCAAATACTGAACTTGGTCTTACAAACTCATTTTCCTGGTCAAGACAATCTTCTCTTCTTGGTATTCCTGTTCCTCAAGGCTTGTCTGCAGGGAGGCACTGGCAGGCATGGCTGCAGCAGAATGGTGACACTGGGTGAATTCCCTGTGTAGACAGCCCTGGGCATCACCTAAAGCCCCGAGGAGGGCTGGGAGGTGCCAACAGCCACTCTGACAGATGCAGATGGTGCAGGACGAGGCTCTTCTCATCCAGATGTTGCAGAGCAGAAGGATTTTTGTTTCAGGCGTTGGCAAAACGCAGCCACCTCAGTGGGAGAGGGGAGATGCATTCAGCTGTCCCCTGGTTCAGAGGAGGAGAGAAACAGCTCTGCCTCCAGCAGAAGCCATGGGGACACTGTTATGGAGCCAGACCATGATTCCCCTGTTGGAAGGGCCCTGTGGCTCCCCCTGCCAGCCCCATCCTTGGCAGCGAGCAGGGCTGGCTGATCCTGGTGTGCCTCGGTTGTGAGGAGTGCTGCTCTCCTGTGCCAGCCCAGCTGCTGCTCCTGCTGCCACCCCAGCTCCCAGAGCAGCTTGTCCCTCTTGCTGGATGCCCCACGCCTGAGCAGGATGTGTCAGATCTTGTTTGCAGGGCAGGGAGAGATGCTCATTATCCCGGGAGTTGTGCTGGAGCTGAACCTCGGCAGCTGCTCAGCGTTCCCAGCCCTGCTGCCCATGGTCCCTGCCTGCCCACGGTGAGAGCAGAGCAGCCTGCATCTCAGCCTTCCGTTCCCTCTCCTGAAATCTGGCCATGGGCTTCTTCTCCCTCTCTCCAACCTGGGAGTGTGCACATGAATAAACCAGAATTTTTCTTCTGTTTCTACTGGTTGGATCTGCGTGGATCAAGCAGGACTGGCTGGTGGGGCTGCTGACCTTCATAGCCCAAATCTAAAACTCCCTGAAGAAGTCCAAACTTCACAAGAACTGAAATTAGGCCTTTGGAAGTACCTGTTTGACCCTGTACCCCAGGATATAACCCTGTGCACCATGTCTGTTCATCACCATTGACCAGCCTTTAACTGGTGGCAAGTTTCCCCAGCAGGCTGAGGCAGACTGTAACCCCATGATACACTGCATGTACTTTCAGATTTATTTTTATTAATGTCATTCTATTTTTAAGGGTGATTTATTTTTATCACCATGAGAGAGGAAGGCCTGTGGTTTTATGGCAGCACATAAATCCTGTCTGGATTTCAACCTTTTCGGGTCAGGGATTTTATCCTCTCAGTGAGCATCCCAAGTGATGGGTGCCAGGGATTCCCCTGTCCTCTGCCTCCTCAGGCAATGGACTGAAGTTTGTCCTCTCTGGAGGTTAAAAACCTTCAAAGTTGCCCCTGTGAAGAGCAGCAGAGCCAGCATTGAAGTCCTCCAGCACATTTATGGCTAATCTGACTTTAGCCATACCCTTGGAGCCTCTCCATGGCAGTGTGGATCCAGCCTTGGGTGTAGACACAGCTCTGTGGGCAGGACCTATCCTTGGTGGCCATGCCAAGGGCTCCTGGCACACCTTTGGACAGAGAGCCCCAGGTCACACGGGCTCTCTCTGGTGGCACTCAAGCTCTTGCCACTCCCAGCACACTCTTTGGGTCGGAGTGTGGGATGGGATTTGTCTGCACACTGTATTGCCTTGTGACTCTGGACATCCAGCACTACATCAGCGTGGAGAATAACTACCATGGAAAACAAGAGGTTCTGGAACACTAGGAAATGCCAAAATCCACTTTGTTGCCTGACCTTAATTTGCCTTCCCTCGCGTCTCTGTCGTGTGACTCACGCTGTAATTAAATGATTGCTGCCCCCTGACAAATCTGAAACCTGTGTTGTGAAGCCCCAGCTCATCAGAGCATTTCAGAGGGAGCACTGACATCTGCACACGAGCAAAATGTCACCTCCCTCATCCCTCCTGCCTTGCAAACAGCCAGGCTGGTTGGTCTGACTGCAGATCCAGAGGCAAGTGGACGCTGCTGAGATGTGACACAGGGACATGCCCAGCTGCCAGCTCAGAAGGGACAGGCACCTCTCCGGGGCAGGACGTGCTCCTTGGCTGGAGATGTTCAGCCAAAATCCCCCATCCTCCTGGCAGGTGCTGCCTGTGCTGTTTGAGACCAGAACAGGGAAGGTTTGTTGTCTCGTGGGACTGGCTGTCAGCTCTCCTCACGCTCCATGTTTTGAGAGATGTGGGAGCACTGCCGGTGCTGCCACGCACTGGGATACCCCTGGGTAAAATCCAGGAGTGCTTGCTGCCTCTCTGGCCTCCCTCACCATCCCTTTCCAGCAGCATATGCAAATCCTGATTTGTGAGCACAATTACCTGCTTTGTATGCACAAAACTGATTCACTTGCACATTCTGTGGGCATTGCTGAAGAGACCTGCTGGAGAATCAGTCCCTCAGGGCCAAATGCTGGAAGAAACAGCCTCTGATTTTGTGCTGTCAGGCTTGCTAGTGCAGTGGCATAAATGAGATGGATAGCTACCTTGATTAGCAGGTGCAAATGTGTTGAATTTTTTTTCCCCATCTATAAATCAGGCTTTTCTTCATCAAAATTCTCTCATTGCATCCACAATTGGTAACCCCCACCCTCCCCAAAGCAGTAAGCACGAGCTTGAAAGAGCCAGATGAAATGTAGTAGCAAAGGTTCTTTTCTGGAAATTGGCAGGAGGAGATTAAAAAAAAAAAAAAAAAAAAAAAAGGGTTTCCATCATTGTCCAAATAGGCCAGTTTGTCACCAGAGCCACAGATGGTACTGCTGTCTGGGTAGGACAGGGGTGTGTTGTGGGCAGGAGGCAGATGAAAGTCATTTTACACAGACCTATTTTTTTAAAGGCAACCTGTTCAGGGGATTTGGAGGTTGCAGAGCTGAGCATGTAAATCAGGAGGTGACCAACCTTGGCGAGGGTGTATTTGTGTTTATGGAAATGGCCACCCCTTCCTAGGATTCAGTTTAATACCATGCAGGTTCTGTGCACATCAAGTAATATTTGTTTGTTCTTGTGCTCCTCTGCTATTTTTTCCATTGGAGGATCCCGGTGCCTTTATTGACTTAGACTTTTATAGGATGAGGTTCTGTCTCTCTAAGGTATGGAGTTTAATAACTTGGTCAAAACCCATGTAATATCCCATTCCTTTTCCTGTGGTGGCACAGCTTGCCTGGTGCACCAAGCAGGGCAGCAGGCAGTTAACTCCCAAGCTAATTTAGCTGCAGGCTGAAGTGTTATACATAAACAGCAATCAAAACCCGTGCCTGCGAGGGGCCGAGTTAAGGTTATCTCTGCTGTCTTTGCACTCTTATTTTCTGCCATTAGAGTGTTTAATCCTGCAGCTCCTAATGTTCTTGTAATGGCATTTTCTGTGCTTGTCTAAAGAGCACAGGCAGGAGGGAAGAGGGATGGGTTTTGCTGGATGGAGCTGCTCCTGAACCCATTTTCCTGAGTGGGCCATCCAACCGGTGCTGCAGGGGCTTCTCAGCCCTCCGTGGGCAGCTCTGGGGCACTGCCAGCCCAGAAGGTGACAGCTGTGGCACACAGGCCACCCTCGGGACCTCTCTGCTTCCTTGCATAGCTCATGTGTTCCTTGGAGGTGTGGTGTAGGAGCTGAGCAGATGATAATGGGAATTAAATCTGTGCAGAGCTTAAACTCAGGCACAATCCTTGGAGGGTAAGTTGCACTTAAGCGCTGTGATGGGTGAGGGTGAGGAGGGTGTCTCGCAGCAGGGGTAGAGGAGGGATAACTGTCAAATTCACTCCAGGTTTTCCCTCCCTGCTCTGTTCCAGGTCGGTTGGGCAGGAGCCACTTTCTTTGTCTTGTTCCTAGAGTTCTAAACTGCTGCTGGAAAAGTTGCATTTCTCATCAGGATGAACAGAGGCTCAGGTTTGGAAAGTGCCATCCCTGAAGAGCAGGAGCAGCAGGTGTCAGGGGTAGAAGAGGTGTGGTTTCCCCCCCTCACACAGCCCCCCGAATAATCAGGCTAGCTCAGAGACCAGAGACTGTGAGGGGAGGAATAGCAGGAGATGGCAAAGATTTCCAAAAGAGGCTCTTACCCCGAGATAAGATGGTTCAGCTCTCTTTATTCTGTGATGTCCTTGTGGAGAGAGTGGTAAAAGAGGACGAACAGGAAATGTCAGGGGTCTATATAGACTTTGGACAGGGTGGGCTTCCCTGGCTCTCCGCCAACCCCGTTGGGGCAGAAAAGAAGGTCCAGGGTTATCTGATCAGAGTCACAGGGTCCCGGGGAAGGGGAAACAGAATGCCCATGAGCTCACTGTAACAAAGAGGAGCTTTTCAGAGAGCTTTCCTGGCAGGCTGGGAACGTGGTGCTGCAGCTCTGAGGCTCAGTGGAACTGAGGATGCTGTGCTGGGGCTGTGTGTGTCCAGAGAGGAGCGGGCACAAAAACTGGGGCTGCATTCTGTATCCCTTTGGGTGGGAGAGGCAGCCCTGAAACAGGCGTGAGAGTGTTTGTGTGGTGCTTACACAGCTGGGAAAGTGTGTGTTTATGGCCCCACAGCCTTTGGGATGGATCAGGCTGCCACCCCAGCTGGGGGCTGGACTTGTCCCCAGCACGTACCTGTGCAGCTGGGACACAGCCCTGGCACAGCAGGGCATTCCTGCAGGACAAGGGTGAGTGCCAGCCTTGGGGGTGCTGCCAGGAGGGAACCACGGACACCAGCAGTGCCAGGAGAAGGCTGACAAACACCAGCTTTGGTCCACCACTGCCAGAGCTCCTCCAGCTCCTTAAATAAAAGCGCCAGTGACAGCACAGAGCAGCTTCCCCGGGAGCACAGGGACTCTGGGAGCCTCCGTTCCTGCTGTGCACAGGGCGGGTGGATTAGGGGGATTCTTGCAGCATTATCACCATGGATCACTCTCTCCATAATGAGGTTAACAGGTTCATCCTGCAGCCCTGCTCTGCTGCTCCTGTGGGGGTGTGGGTGCAGTGTGAGACCCCATTCCCCGTTCCAGCAGAAGCAGCAGCACAGCATGGAGAGTGTAGTGAAGGAATAGCTCAGCAACTTCCAGCTTTTCTATAAAAAAAAGAGAGCTAAAACCTCCACCTGTTTACTAACACACTGGAAATACAATATTGGACCTCCAGAGCTGAGCACTGGGACTTGCCCTCATTTATACCGAGTGAGCAGTGATCCTTCCTTTGGCTGTAACAGCTGAATGATTGCCTTGGATAATCCAGCGTGGTTTGTGGCTCCTGGATCCAAAGGCAGAGGCAGGACTGTGCCTGCCAGAGGCAGGGTGGCAGCAGTGGGAGCAGGATTCTTGTCCTGGGGGTTGCTAGGTCCTGATTCATTTGTGCTCCTGCAGCAGCTGAACACTGCACAGAGGCGTGTGCAGGACCTGTGGAAATTGCATCCAGCTCCAGGTGCAGTTACTTGTCAAACTTGGTTACTTTGGTTGACTTTGGCTTCAAGCTCAGCTTGAATCCTAACTCAGCTGCAGCAGGGGGATGACTGTGTCCCTCTCAGATGCAGTTGCTTTGAACAAAGACTCTTTAGTTTGGCCTTTTGATGGTTTGATTCATTTTAGCAGCATGTTGAAAAATACATCCTAAGGAGGGCTTAGAGTTATGGAGCCCTGTTCCCCCCACTCCAGGCACTTCATCAGGTGTTGCTTATTCCATGGGGATTAGCCAGCCTCAGCATCCTCCCTGGCTCAGCATTGTCTCTGGGGAGGATGGGGACAGACTGGAAATAACAGAGTAGTTTGAGGGGCCAAAGAAAGAAGGTGGATGCTGTTGTGGAGAGGGCAAAAGCTCCTGAGACTCTGTAAGAGCACAGCAGGTTCTGCTGAAATTTTTTGGAAGCCCCACTTATTGTCAGTTCCTAGTTCTTGATAGAGGAATAGATCCTAATGACCTGAGGTGATGGAGTCCTCTCTGTTCCAGCAGACTGCAGCACTCAGCTGATGCTGTGCTGGGAGCCTTCCTATCCAATTTCCCAAACCCTGCCAGAGGGTGTAGATCACCCTGGGAAACCTGTGGAAAGCTGATCCCCACTTTCTCCTGCCCTGGATCTCCTCCCCAGCTGGTGCCACCACTTACCCTCTCACTTACTAAAATAAACCTCCCAATAAACCTCCCAATAAAGTCTTGAGCACCAGCTGTAGCTGCTGAAACTCCAGGATTGGGGTCGATAAAATCAATATTTCCCCTGGTTGATAGAGTTCCTCCTTCTGATGCCAAACTGATGGAGCAGTAAACAAGCCAGCAGACAAAATAAACCCTCCTGCACCGTGGCAAGGGGGTTCACCACCCAGCACCCCCAGCCATAGATATGGGGGAGGTGTTTGGGCCATGGGATGCTGACCTCTGTCGGTGTTTTTTCTTTATTTGCTCTAATTTCTGTGGCAGCAGGCGAGAGTGAGCCAGTGCCCCAAGACTCCCAGCTCTGCTTCGCCAGCACTTTGAGATGTCTCTCATTTGCAGAGCACATATTTGTTATGTAATAAGCGCCAGGAATTAATGATCCACAGCACGGCTGGGGAAACTTGCGTACTAAGCACCCAAGGAAAAAATAACTTTTCTTTTTTTAAAATCACTGATGGAGCCATTAGGACCTGTGTTTTCCTGCACCGAGACCGCCCCAGCCCCCAGGCACGGCAGAGCCTGAGCAGGGCCAAGCGCTGCCATCTCTCTCCCAACTCTTTCCCTTTGGAGCAGCAATGTTCCTGCCGCTCCTGTTATGAATCATGAGGTTAGCAGCTTTTGACAGATCATAGATCAGTGCTTCGAAGTTGCTAGGACAAATCCCAGGACATTTAATCTTTAATATTAGACGCGTTTGAGGCAGTGAATATTTCATGAAGGTGCTGTTGCATTTTAGCACATCATTAGCCGTCTCTTTTTTCTCCCCCCACTCTTTCCTTTTTTTGCTGCCTCTCCCTTCCCAGGCGTTTCTTCCTCAAAAATCTCAGTTGTTGAATCCCCACCTCGCTCCCTCCTGACAATAAAGCTCTTGGCTGTAATCCTTGTGAGGCATTTTAAGAACTTGCTTAAGGAGGAGCACGCAGGTAGCTGCCTGTCTGCACTGCCACTGTGAGGTGGGTGCCCTCCTCCCCAGCATCCTCCCCAGGTCCCCACCTCAGCAGTGTTTACAGCTCAGCTTTGCTGCACTGTCAGGCACGATGGGGAGAGCAGGGGAGGGTGGAGGGAAACGGTGGCAGCAGCTTGTAGCAGAAACTCCACGTGCAAATCCAATTAATCTTTTGATTTTGCTGTTTCTTGCTCCGGGTTATGTATTTCTACCAAACACTGAATCAATTTGGGCCAAGTGCAGTCGGGTTTCCGGTGTGGAAAATGTCTTCTGCTGTCAAAAGAGAGGAGCAGGGCTGAGAGCCCCTTTGCTGTGGGGTGGGAACAGTCTGGGGAGGTGGAAGCTGGGGGGGTTCTGCATCTTTCAGAGGGAGTTTGCACTGTGGGAAACTCTGCTCTCTTGTGCTGGTGCCAGATGGCAGAGAAGAGTGGGGAAGGGGATGTGGGATGGGTTTGTGGTGCCCACCTTGGGGATTGCACAGGGTGGACACTGGGAGGTCAGGATCCTGCTGAGGAGTGAACATCAGGACTGCACAGGAACACTGGTTAAGGGCAGATCTTCTGCATTATGAAACCACATCCCCAGCTACTGTGGGTGCTGCATCGTGTAATCCCCTCCCTGAGAATAACTACAGGTTTCTTACAGCTTTCCACATCTTCTCCACACCTCCTGGGGGTTTCTGGAGTCCAAAGTGCTCCAGAGGCACAGGAGGCACCAGAGATGGGCAGCAGGGGAGGAGGGCCCGACTCTGCAGTCCCTGCCGTGCCTCTGGGCCAGGGCCATCTCATCCTTCCCTGCTCTGTCCTAGGAGAGTGCAGCTGCCACGAAGGGTACGCCCCGGACCCCGTCCATCGGCACCTGTGTGTGCGCAGCGACTGGGGACACAGCGAGGGGTGAGTGGGGACCTGGTGGGGGGATCTGCTGGTGAGGAGCCCAGCTCTCCTCCCTTGGGGGAGCACTGGGCCATTTTCCCAGCCCAGTGATGTGCTCAGCTGCTTTTGCCCGCTCTCCTCCCAGGCCCTGGCCCTACACGACGCTGGAGCGGGGATATGACTTGGTCACAGGAGAGCAGGCGCCAGAGAAGATACTCAGGTGAGTCAGAGGTTCACCAGGGTTCCTGGGGACATTTGTTCAGGGTTCACCTGGGACATTTGGGAAGGGAGAGCCACGAGGACATCCCAGTGGATGCAACCTTTTGGTCAATCCCAGCTCATTCTTGTGCTGGTGGTGGGACAAGTGTCATTTGTCTGTGACAGACCTGAAAGATTTGTCCGCATTTGGCAGGCAGAGAGGGGTTCCCCTCTTGTCCCTTCAGCAAACGTGAGGACAGCATGTACAGAAACTCCTCCTGGAATAAAAAGAAGATTTTTTCTCATCCCCATGTTCTTCTGTCCCATCTCAAGTCATTCCTCTCCTATTTGGCTTTCAGGACAAGACAAAATCACGGACTTACCTCGTGGTGCCACCACTGCTCTGCCTTCCGAGCAGGCAGTGGGTGGCCACCATTCCCTGTGGACACTCTGCTCCTGTGTGACGTGTTTGTTCTTTCTCCAGGTCCACCTACAGTTTGGGTCAGGGGCTGTGGCTGCCAGTCAGTAAGAGCTTCGTGGTGCCCCCTGTGGAGCTTTCCATCAACCCCCTTGCCAGCTGCAAGACAGATGTTCTGGTGACCGAAGATCCAGCAGATGTCAGGTAGGAAGCAGATTTCTCGTTCTCTTCATGCTTCAGTGCCTGTACTGCTCTTTAAATTGTTATTGAGGATGCAGTCATTTCTGTGATGATAGCTTTGATTAATTTCCTTCCAATAAGAAGTCTGATGTGATTGCTCTCCAGGCTCTTTGGGCTGATGGGTCTAGGCCAGGCCTGAGTGTGTAACTCTGAAATCTGCCAGTACAGGCAGGTGAATTGGTAGGAACCTGTGGCAAGGCAATTTGAGAGTGGCTTAAATGTAATGTTAGATTGCAGTGCTTAAATGGATGCATTTACTGGGATGGAGGAGCTGTCATCTTTCTGAAACTCATCCCTACATCACATCCACCTGGCCACTGATGTCTGCTGGGATGCTCATGAAGGGTGAAAGGCCATGTTGCTTATCTAATAATTACACAATTAGAGTGTGGGGTTTTTTTGGGTGTTTTTTTTTTTTTTTTTCCTTTTTGGAGTTCAGTGAATGCCTGGACATTTTGCTGATCACCTTGGTGGTGGTTATACTCTTTGGTCTGGTTTACAAGGGCGTTAACTGTAAATTATAAGAGTTTAATTCTGAAGGTATTTAGTGTGTATTCCCCTCTCTCCCATTAAATTAAGATTGAGCATGTGACTGTTGGGTGTCAGGGAGACTCCAGGTTCCCTCCCTTCCTTCTTGCTGCATTCTCCTGTTGACTCCAGACACAATTTCTTGACTTGAAAATCCTTGGTTGTATTATGAATCATCTCCCTGGGCACCAGCAGGATCCTTGTATCCCCCCCAGCCCCTTCTGTCTTGTCTTTTCCCAAATGGATTTCCATTTTTCTGTCCCATCTTGGCAGGGCTGAGGTTGAAGCAAGCGCCTACAAAAGCTATGGCAGAGGCAGGACTGGCATCCAAGATGCCCTCACTTCCAAGTGTGTGTGTGTTGCTAACTAGTGCTTGTTCCCTCTTGTGAAAAGAGACTGGTGGTACATCTCTATCACAGTTTGGCTCTTTTAGGACCGTTGCTTTTCTAGTCTGCAACAACTTCTGCTTTTCATTTGAGAAAGGAAGGAGTTTATGCTAACATTTTCCAAGGCAAAGTGCCGAGAGAACATTATTTATTTCTTTCCTCCTCACATCTTCATTAAAAGTGCCTCAGTGAAGGTGGAGGCCCAGAAGCTTGTTTTCTGCTCCAGTGCAGTAATTGTCTCTGGGCACTGCTCCTTGTGGAAAAGTCTCTGTTGGGATGGATGAATGCCAGGCAGCAGGAGGGGAGGTTTTGGCACAAGGCTGTTGCCTGCTCCCCTCATAAATGGAACCTGCACTGAGAATTCCAGGTATAAATATTGGAGTGGCTCAGGTAGAATATGGGAGGTGTGAGTTCACGGCACTTGTATCTTACACACAGGAGTTGCTGAATTATTCAAACTTTAATAAACGCAATAATAAATATTTGATGTTGAATTATGGAAGGTTTCACAGATACAGTGAGAAGTGAAAAGCAATCTATTATTTCTACATTAGAACTGAAACACTTCTCAAATGAGCAGCTGCAAGCTCGGGATCCTCAGCACCCCAGGGTGGGTGGAACCCTCTTCTGAGTTCTTGGGCACTTTCATGCGAAAAAAAAGGTTCTTTCAGAGCTGCTTATCTTGCAGCCTCTTTGCTTTATCTGTGGACCGACACGAGCATCTTCTCAGAGGAGAAGTTTTGGTGGTTCAGATGTTCAGGTGGCGATCCAGCAGGTCAGGTGATCCAAGGTGTAGGTGCTCAAACACAGCCATTCCTCCCTGGTTGTATTGGACGTGAAATGAGTGCACAGAAGCTTGGTAAGTTCAGAAGAGAAAAGGAGCCAATTTTATTTCTGACCTATATATAGAACATATATAATCCCAAAAGTGACAGTGGATTGGAGGATGAAATTGCCACCTTTCCAACCACACTGGTCAAACCAACAGTCCATCAATTCTCTCCTCCCACAAAGAAGAATGCAAAACAATCATTATTTACATGAACAGTGTGTGAAAAACTCCAGTAGAAATATGTAAACATCAGAAGGCATAGAAAACTTTTAAAACAACTTTAAAACTTTTAAAAGAACTATAAAAGGAAACTTAACACTTCTAAAAATCAGGGCAACACCTCCCTGTGCCTGGAGGAATTTCCTGGCTTTGGGACTGTGGCAGCACTGCTGTTTCTCCATGCTGGGAGCTCCTGCAGGTGGATCACAGAATCATTTGGGTTGGAAAAGACCTCAAGGATTGAATCCAACCTGTGACCAATCCCCACCTTGTCACCCAGACCAGTGCACTGAGTGCCAAGCTGAGACCTTTTGAATATTTCCAGGGATGGGTGTCGCTGTCGAGGCAGGACAGGAATGAAGAGACTCTGACCAGAAGGCTGCATGAGAGTGAAACTCCGGTTTATTCAAAATACACTGCTCTTTTATAGAGAGCTCTGTGAGGCCCAACTCCATTGGTCCTGAAGTGAAAACAACTCACAGCATTGTTGCAAAGTGCTTGACGCACAGTGATAGAACCTAACTATAAACAGTGTGAAGAACAAGAGAGATAAAGAATTATTTACATTCTTCTCCAGCTTTTTCCCAGGCTTTTTACCTGGCTAGAAACTCTCAGTTTCTTTCTTTGAGTGAATCTGAGACCCACAGATGGGAATTCCACCACCTCCCTGGACAGCCCCTCCCAATGCTTGACAGCCGTTTTCCTATGAAGAAATCCTTCCTGAACATGCAGTGCTGGTGCTTTAATCCAGTCCCATCTCCATGCCAGGGGCAGACCCTGGGCTGTGCTCCACTGGCTGCAGCACATCTGTGCCTCAGCTCCTGGCGTGCCCTGTTTGCTGTCCTGTGTCACTGTGGTGCTGGCTCAGTGCTGTGCTCCTTCTGTGTCTGTAATGACGAGCGTGCTGCATTCCTGCAGACCTTTCATTAGTCTGACACCTTTGGCTCTGGGGTCACTTGCTTTGAAGGGTTTAATGGAGGGAAATGGCAGCAAACCTGCTTTGGAGAAAACAAGTGATGAAGTCTTTACAACTCAGAGGGTTAAAGGTTCAAATGTGGTCGTGTGTTTTTTGTGAAGATGCTTGAGATGCAGAGGGACAGGTGGGGCTCATCCTTTCAGCAGCTCTCTGGGGAAATTCTGCCTCCAATGTGGGAGTCCAGGGCTTCCCTCTGGCTGCCCTGGCAGGTCTGGGACCCTGGCAGGGGTCAGGAACCCCCCTGGACAGAGCCCTGAGAGACACTGGCTGTGATCTCTGGCCACGGAAAAGAGTTTTCAATCTTACAGGATGAATTACCAGCTCTGAGTGTTTGATATGAGTAATAATTAAGTGTGGCACGGGTGTAAAAGTAAAATTTTAGGGTTCTAGATGAGGGGTCCAAAGGGGACAAGATGGAGGAAATTGGGTGTGTCTTGTCCTTTTTCTCCTTCTTCATGCCCTCCATGTTTCACTGTGGTGTTGGCATTTTTCTGTTGGTTTAGGCTGGGGACACACTGTCCAACGTAGGTGACAGATATTGGCACGTTATTGTAAATCCAGCACAGGTAGTTTCTGGTATTTAATGTTTGTACCATCCCACTGAGGGCAGAGCCCCACACGCTGCCCTGCAGGACAGAGCTGCGGCAGGGCAGCAGAACATGTTAGAGATAAACAGAATAAACAACCTTGAAACCAGCACAGACGGATTATGGCTTCTTCTTTGGCAGTGGGGCTGAAAGACAGAGACTTTCTACAACCTCGGGATCATCAATACCACAGATTCCAACATCCAGTGCTGTTCTCTGTGTGTTTCACTGCTGGGCAGTGCAACAAAATCTACTTTGGTGGGTGGGAATGATGTGCCCAGACCTTCCCCTGCTGCAGCCAAGACATTGGAGAAACTTCCAGCAAACAGGAGCCAAGGGGCTTCATGCAAACATCCCCCTCAGGATGCTCCAGGGGCTTCAAGGGACAGGACACAGCAGTGTGCAAAACTTGGTGCTGGATGTTTTAGGGCTGTGTGTCATAAATTAGGAATGAGAGTGCTTAGAGTTAATGAAACTTGCATATATAATTTATCAGTGACCATATTGAGCATCCCTTCCTCAGCCCCAGAGTGTGATCCTCCGCACAAGGATCGCATCAGTCACAGCCTGGGCCTGTGACAGCCACGCTCACGGTGATGTCTTTGTTCAGATGAGCCTGGCCAGCAGTGCTGCAGGGCTCTCCCCAGGCTGGGCAGACTGTCCTGGCAGCACATCCCCTGCCAGGACAAGAAGTACATCCCAGTCCCACCTTGTCTGGCTCGTTTTCAAGACCCCTCTTTGTTTCCCTTCCCATCTCTCTGTCTAACCTGCATTTCTCCCATAACCTGGTGTTAAACACAGTACTCTATAAATATAATTTTGTTGAACAAATTACTGTTAGGTGTTCAATCCTTCTGCTAGCCTTCTCTGGACATCTTGCCATCTCTGCTTGTGCCTTTGGAAGGTACAGCTTGTCTTGTGGGTCAGGAATTGCTCTAATTGTGGCAGTGTATGGGAAGGACCCACAGCCCCCAGGTCCTGCTGCCCCAGCACCGAGCATCCCTGCAGGGATAATAAAAGCATCCCTGCAAGGGATAATAAAAACATCCCTGTAGGGGATAATAAAAGCATCTCTGCAGGGGATAATAAAAACATCTCTTGGGGCACAGAGAACTGTGTGGGACCAAGAGGAGAGCTAGCCCGGGGGCAGAGCACGGCACTGGCAGACGCCCAGGGGTCACGGTTCACTGTGCCACCCGCTCTGCAGAAAAGTTGATAATTTCTGTTGAGCAGCTATAAATCAGAGGCACGAGCCTCAGCTGCTGCCTGACATGACATACAGCTCCATCGTTATGGCAACCATAGAAACAAATAAAAGCCTTGCCTTCGCTTGACAAGCCTTTGAGATGTCCTGATGGAGAGACAAGTGTTCAGCAGCAGAATGAATTCTCTTGAACTCGCTGTCGATTTATCTTCGTTTTGCTCCCAAGTGTGCC